CCCTGCCCCTCGACCACCATTTCTACAAACACCTATCAGTCATCCATCCACCCAATTTGCTTTCAATTGATTTCAGTTGTCAACTAGGCACACCATGAACCAACTCAATGGAAATGCAGTGTGGCAGGAGGGGTGGACCACTTTAGGCATCTGGAGGCCAGTGTCAGCTTTCTGAGCATCCTGGCATCCCCTTTCTGAGCATCCAGTCTCTTGATGTGCTATCCAGTTTGCTTGCATCATAGATCACAGCTGGTTTTGCTGTTTTAGTACCACCCAAGCTTTTTGCCACTACAGGTTTGGTTCCTCAGCAACAATTGGGCAGGATGTGGGGTGTTAGCATCTTTCTCTCCTTTTTAAAGAGTGCTTTTTTAAAGATTTATAAATGCATTTGAAAATTTTATGTTCTAATGAACTCTAGAAAATTGGCATATTCTTAAAAAGTATGACAGTACATATTTATGGATTTTTTAAAGGATAAAATGCATAGCTTATCTATGGCTGAAAAACTTTTCAAAAACGAGATCCCGTTCAAATGTGAATTGGGGATGATTCTAGTAAATTTAAAAAGCAGGGTTTTTTTTCCTAACTCCAGGAGGATCTGGATTGATGGTGCCATTAATATACGACCTTGAACTGCAATTTTTGCCTCATATCTCCATTTAATTTACAAGCAGTTCTAACATATGCATGGAGTTTCCTTCCATGGTAAGGGCATATAATTTCAGCCTTACCAAAGTCTCACAGAGCACTTCTATGGAATAGCAGCCCCAGGAGAGCTTGGAAACTGAGAAGTAGATTGCAGAACTGGAAGGATTCCTATGACTAATTCTAACAATTCTGGTTCTCCACTGATACAAGCCTCTGTCTGCGTGCAGTAAGAGCTGCAGTCCTGGTTCTAGGAAGAAGGTGAAGGAAGGGGAGCTGTTTTGCTGGTATGATTGCATCCCATGTCCTTAAGGGATGATTTCAGGAGAGAAGGGTAGGCATTAGAATGTCCATGTGTTCCAAATATATTTGATAAAATGGGAGCAGTATGCACAGGAGCTTTCTTCAGGGACTGAAGTGTGATTGAATGGGGCCAGGTGGAGCCAGGTAGGAGATGCTGAATAGAGATGGAGGAAGTTAGCGTGTGCAAGCACATGTGTGATTGTTTTCCCCTGTTGTTTCCAATGACTCACTGCGGTGGATTCTCCACATTCAGGATGGCTGTTTCATCCTTGAATATTCAAACATATGCCTTTGGAGCTTGCCCTAGAACACTACTTAGGTTATTCCATTGGTGCTAAAAGATCTTGTAACTTATGAGTAACAAATAACAAATAAATAGCAAATGGCAAACGGCAAATAGCAAATAATAACTAATAACTAATAGAAAATAGCAAATAGCAAATGTTGTTAGTCACGAAGTCGTGTCTGACCCATCATGACCCTATGGACAACATTCCTCCAGGCCTTCCTGTCCTCCACCATCCCCCGGAGTCCACTTAAGCTCATGCTGACTGCTTCAGTGACTCCATCTAGCACCTCATTCTCTGTTGTCTCCTTCTTCTTTTGCCATCTTTTGTTCCCAGCATTAGGTTCTTCTCCAGTGACTCCTTCCTTCTCATTAGGTGACCAAAGTATTTGTGTTTCATCTTTAGTATGTGGCCTTCTAAAGAGCAGTCAGGATTGATCTTCTCTAGGACTGACCGGTTTCGTCACCTTGCAGTCCAAGTGACTCGCAGGAGTCTTCTCCAGCAAATAGCAAAAAAATAAAAGGAAGGGACTCTGATCACAGTCAGTACATCTCTGTGATCAGAGGCCTATTATCTGGTGCCTACATTGGCAAGGCATGATCTTTCTACCTGCATTACTTAAATGAAGTGTAGCCTGCCCATTGAGCAAACACCTGAGCCTACATCAAAGCAAGAGAGCTCCGAGGGAAAAGGCACTATGAGTTCTGCTCAGGGAGAGCCTGAGCAGACTACTCCCCCTCCTCCTGACACTGAACTTCCTGAGCATGACACAGGAGACGCAGGAGGAGGGATAGACTTTTCCCTCACGACCGATGGACGTATTCTGAGAAGATGAGAACAAAAACAAGCTTTGTCCTGCCCCAGAGAGGAAAGGTGGGACCAAGATGGCTAGTCCCACATGGGCTCAGGGAGAGATGTCACTAAAGGGTTAGCATCTGACTTGTAAAGACATTAACAGTAGGGCTTATCAGTAGAGTTGTAAATCTAGTGGACAAGTAGTAATAAAAGTCTTTCGTTTTATTGCTCGTTAGTGTGTGGGTAGTTTATACGTTGAGCCATCTCAGCACTATGCTAACCCTTTAGTCACTCACAAAACCAAGCAAGGATTTTTTTTTCTCTCCTTTCTTCATCCACAATTTTATTTTCTCCACCTTTGAGAAACCGCATTAATGGAATCAGCAGTTCAAGTGCCTCAATAACTTCAAACCTTAAGAGATGAAAACGCTCTCCTATGGGCTAAATATGCAGAAGATATGCAACAAATGGACTCTATGCAACTTGAGCAGGATAATTTACATGCTAAGCAGCAAACAGCAGCAGACTCAACACAAAGCCGGGAATTAGAAACGATGCCCATTGGAACCCCACCCCCAAATATGACGGGAAAAAAGAGGAATTTACAACTTTCAAAGCACAATTTATTTATTTAGTTAGTTATTTTTTGATGTATATCCTGCCTTTTTCCTCAAAGGGCTCAAGGCAGCTTACATCATTCCCCTCTTCCATCTTATCCCACAACAACAACCCTGTGAGGTAGGTTGGGCTGAGAGTCTGTGACTGGCCCAAAGTCACCCAGTTGGCTCCATGGCCGAGCGGGGACTAGAACCCGGGTCGCCTGAGTCCCAGTCCCATGCTCTTAACCACTGCACCACACTGGCTCTATCAGCCTACGCCTTAATGACTTCACTGATGAAAAGATGAAGGTAGGCTTTTTAATAAATCAACTCACAGGGGCCCCAGCCCACTGGACGACTGCAATGCTGATCGCTCGAGACCCCATATTGAATGACGCAAATGTGTTTATAGATGTCCTGGGGAAATTCCTTGGCGTAGAATCTTGCAAGGAAATGGCCATCC